TCTCCTGATGAGCAGATGAGAGACAGGTGGTGCGGTCGGCTCATGCTCCAGGAGATCTTGTGCACCCTCTGGTGGAGAAAGTGGACAAACCTCCAGATCCTAACAAAAATGACTCATATAGATTTCAATTTTTCGCAGTGTAGCGAGCCGAATGAATATAAGGGGTAGAGCCTAGCCGCCTGTGGCCCGGGCTGCCTGTCACAACTCCAGGCCGGTGTGCGGATGATGTCATACATGCGTCGCTTTGTTTTACAACAATAATAAATATAAAAAATATAACCGCAGATTTCTGGAGGACAGTGATTCGACTACATGTTATGAATGCTGGCGTACCATAAAGAATAAATTATGAACAGTTTAGTTTGTACCTTCAAGTCGTTGCCCATAAGTGGACGTTACTTGGATATAACCTAACGGAATATCTTCAGAACAGCTCCAAATGACACAAAACTCATATGGGCGAGTAGAACATGATGTAATAACGTAGAATCAAGGGGCAAATGTAAAAATCACACAATAAACCAAGATGTAAGTAGGTGTTTCCTTACGTCTTTGAGTTGTACAGGCAGGTTTACCTCAATATTAGATTCAAACCTTGAATTTACGGCTTTTAGTTTTAGCGTGCCACCCCAAGATTTTTAGTGGCCCCATCTGGCCCCCCCTATGAAACATTTCTGGAGGCGCCACTGGCAACATAGGAGAGCCAGAAGCTCTGGGACAGATTCAGCTGCTCACACCTAAACAACAAAGGACACACCTTTGAAAGTACACAATGATCTTGATTCAAATGGCAAAACACAAAAGCCATGCAAAACAAGCCTCCAACAAGCCAGGAGATTTGAACACAGATTTGACTCTGAATGTGCTTATGTGGATGGGCCTCCATGGTGCTACAGGTTGCTCTAGCGTGAGCCAACACAACCGAAAAAAGACTCATGGATAGGTGTTAAAATATTTTTAAAAAAAACTATTTAAAAGGTGCGTTTACCTCAGATTTAATGCTGCTTTTTGGTTGCCATGGATGACTGAGAATTTGCTCGGCACTATCTTATCGCCTGTAGCAGGTCACTGTACCTGTACAATAGAAGTTTAACGTTCTGAACTAAATTATTATAATATGTGTAGATTTTTGCATAGCTCTCCATAAATCTAAGAATAGTATCATCCTCTCCTGAACTAAACTATTATTTATTGTATTTTCGTTCTGTATTTCTGATTGTTTAAGGAGAAAGAAAAACCAAAGTACTACGGGACAGTAATTCCGTATCCGAATTTCAATGCCAGCAGTGATGCTTCAGTCCTTCAGAGCGGCATCGAAAGTAAAGGTTAGTGGGCAGACATTTTTCTTCTTTATGTTTGAAGGTCATTGCTAAATGTTATTCATTAAAACAAATCATTTAAAAAAAAAATTACTACAGAATTTATAGAATGGTGCAGAATAAAAGAATAAATCCTTCTGAAAAAAATGGTGTATTCAAATTATTTTATAGATTTTGATGAGTTGTAAATATATTTACTTCAGATTAGCATTAGTATTACCAGACCTGGCAACTGACAGGCAAATTTAATGACTAATCATATGAGAAACTTTCATATCAACACATGTGAAAGGTGATGATGATTGTTTTCAGGGGTGGATGAGGATGTGATCATCGCCATTCTGGTGAAGAGAAGCAACGAGCAGAGGCAGAAGATTAAAGCTGTTTATGAAGCTTCCAGTGGAAAAGTGAGTATGTTGTTGCTCTCCATGAAGGAGAAAAGAAAATCAACCACAGGTGGAATAAAACTTCTAAATTTTTTACAATAAAGTAACTTTGCAAGAACAGCTGTTAATCTTGATTTTAGCATCCACTGCTTGCTCCTGGTTTTGCTTTTTGCTCTGTTTTTCCATCCAAACAGGCAACTTAGTTTCTGTATCATGAAATGCTTTAAATTTCAATTTGAAAAAAAAAATGCTTAGTCAAATGCAGTGTTAAATGCTATCACCAGAGGGTACCAATGGATCCGTTAATGCTTTTATGTGTACAGGTAAAAGTGTGTATGTGCACACACACACACATATATATATTTATATATGTATAAACTGTTCCTCAACCACTGCATGCGGTCTCCCTTTTTTCCTCCAAGCTTGGATCCTCTACCAGGGCCCTTCAGTTTTTATATGTATATATATATATATATATATTAGTGCTGTCAATCGATTAATTTTTTTTAATCGCGATTAATCGCATCAATGCCTGAGTTAACTCGCGATTAATCGCATTTTAATCGCA